ATACCCTCATTCTCATTGCATACAATACCTTGTTGCTCATTATCTTCATCTATTATCTACTCTGTTTTATTAGTGTTTTACTAGTAATCTAACTGTGATCAATGTCCTTTGATGGTCTGCATCTTAGTTGTCGCGCGAACACTAATTCTGATTCTCTGACGTTACTGCAGCGGCCATTTCCACATTACAGTCGTAGTGGTATCTAGTTTGCAACATTTGGCAATTATTGTTGAGATCCTTTTGTCCACGTCTAGATCTCGTAGACCATTGCCTCATGGGAGCGCGAATATTGGACGAGGTCGTTAGGGAACCAGCTGCAAAGATGGTCAGACGGAATAAATCGAGGTGTTCTTGTGAGCTTACAGAGCGATCTCTTTTTCGGCGTTCTCAACGGAATCAGAGCCATGGCAGATGTTACGGCCAACGGCAAGGGCATAGTCACCGCGGATGGTGCCTACGATAAATTGAGCACCTAAATGTAACTTGATGACTTATGATAGACTGACCAGGGCCTGACTGAAGGGGGTTGGTAGCGCCCAACATGACACGGCCAGTTTTCACAGCATCCAAGCCCTCCCAGACCATGGCAAAGACAGGGCCAGAGAGCATATATGTGATCAAACCAGGGAAGAAGGGCTTCTCGCGGAGGTCCTCATAGTCTACAAACCGAATGTGATCAATCATCTCGTTGAGAATATGATTGAATCCCAAACTCACGCTTCTCGAGATGCTGTCTGGAGGGAGAGATGAGCTTGGCGGCGATGAGCTTGAAGCCGCGCTTCTCGAAGCGGGCGGTGATCTCGCCAATAAGACCACGGTCAACACCATCGGGCTAGAAGATGGTGCGGTCGTTCAGCGGCTGATGATCTCGAGATGATAGATGGCTACCTTGACCATGATGTAGGTGCGTTCACGGATGTTGGGGGCCATTTTTGTTGTATCTGAGCGGAGAGATGAGGAAGTGATTCTAAATGATCGCAGTCAAGATTTGTTGCGAGTTTTATCTTACCAGATCTTATCTTTTTGAAAAATAAGTCTAAATAAAGCGGATGCAAATAACGCCAAATAACATCCCCGGGTGATTCCGCTTCTTGAATTGTAGTTTCGTGAAGACACCATACTCAGTAGCCAACGCGATGAACGTGCTCGGCCCTTCCCTCGCACCCTACATTCGCTCCTCGCGGACGCTCAAGAAATATGTGACACCAGTCGCTCACTGGTATGCTGACCTCATGGGCTACCGTAAGATGGGCCTCAAGTATGATGACCTCCGTGCGTATCATATGTTTAGTTCGGGGATGAACGTATCTAAATTGGATTCATATAGAGGTCGAAGAGAACCCACAAGTCCAAAGGGTGAGTCGCCTATCCACTTTTTGTGAACATATTTAACGTTGACTGGAATTACAGGCACTCGGTCGTTTAAGTCCGCGAGAAACCTATGAGCGCTCCTACCGCTTCAAAATTGCAAGCAACTGTGATCTTCACCACAAACCTTTGCCAAAAGAACAGTGGTCTAAGCCTGAGGATGTACGTTGATGTCTCGCAGTACTCAAAAGTGGATTGACGCTGACCGCTGTTTCAGGACAAGCGATACCTCCAGTCTCATATTCTGAACGTCATTAAGGAAGAGGAGGAGAGATTCACCTGGGACACAATGACCGTCCAACGCAAATAGACATTCGCATCCATGTAGACTCACAGTTGTGACTATCCATATCCACACATATTGGCGATAACTTCACCTGAAGTTCTATACTGTTCACTTGAACTATAATCAATTGCAAGAAGGGTGCTTCAATTTTGTTTGATTACCCTCTGCAGTACCACACAACTTTGATATATATTTCTGTCCTTTTCAGAGCGACACTATGTAGGACAAAGCACCACAACTTGCATCAATCATGATTACGGGATCTTTACATCGCTTTCTACAAGTAATCTAACCTAATTCCAGGACCAGCAAACTTTTTTAGTACTACTCGACACAATAAACCTACAAAGCCTTGACGAGAGGAGACACAACTTGGCCGCCCTTCTGCTTGTAGAACGCGATGACCTTCTTGCTAACGGCGGCAATGTCTGGATCACAGTTAGTAACATCAACAGTCTTGTGTATGTGCTAACTTACTAGGGCCAGTGATGCCAAACTTTTCATACACCTTGAGGTACGGTCCTGAAGCACCCCATGCAGGTAGACCATATTGCTGCCAAATATATGAGCTATTTAGCAAAATCGATGTGATCACAAAAGCTTACCTCGTGGCTGTATTTTTGCCAACCAGTGGTCTATTTCGAGACGAGTCAGCCAAATGTGCCACTTCTTTAGCTATTCAAATTTACCGTGAGTGCCTCTAATGACAGAATAGGAGCACCGCTCCTGAGGACACTGAGCCTGTATTGCTCATCCTGCTTGTCAAACACCGACCAGCAAGGCAAGCTGACCAGCCGGACGTTGACACCCTCTTTCTTAAGCAAGCTCGCTGCTTCAAGGGCGATCGGAACCTCGCTGCCGCTGCTGACAATCGTCATGTCCTCGTTAGCGACCTCGTAGAGCACGTATCCACCTCGCGCTGCACGCTCAATGGTAGAGCCCTCAAGGTTGGGCAGGTTCTGCCGGGAAAGTGAGAGGACGGATGGTGTCTGCGTGCTCTTGAGAGCAACGAAATAGGCTGCGGATGTTTCGTTACCATCCGCAGGGCGCCAGAAGTCAAGATTAGGGATTGCACGCAGGTGGATGGCAGTTTCGATTGGCTGATGAGTGGGACCGTCTTCTCCAAGACCGATGGAATCGTGCGTGGCTTGACAAATCATAAACATCGTTTCCTGGTTTCTAAAGGATTCTGTTTACTCACCGACCCAAATAACCTGATGCTTGCTGAGCGCGGACAACCTGACGGCACCAGCCGCATATGAAACAAAGTTCTAAGATGGGGTCAGCGAGAAACATCGGCTAAGGGAGCACGCTATTCACCAAGAAAGTAGCGACGAATGGCACAATACCACCATAAGCATGCAGACCATTGGCAATGGCGCCCATAGCGTGCTCACGAACACCATATCGAACATACGTGCCAGCGTAGTTTCCGAGTCCGGTGCTAGGGGGTTGGAAGTCGACAGTTCCCTTGACCTTGGTCAAGTTACTGCCTGTCAGATCGGCAGAGCCACCCAATAGATCGGGGAGTGCGGGAGTGATCGCCGTAAGCACAAGCTCAGATAGCTTGCGAGATGCTTGAGCAGGATCGGCAGGGGTGTACACAGGGAGTTTTTGCTCCCATCCTTCCGGGAGTCTCCCAGAAATCCGGCGAGTGAGCTCGGCGTGCTCTTTGGGGTATGCTTTGGCATACTCGGCGAGAAGGCTGTTCCACTGGGACTCGAGCTTGGCGCCACGAAGGGCAGCTGCTCGGTAAGTGTCATAAGTCTCCTTAGGCACGTAGAACTTTTGGTCAGGAGGGAATCCAAATTTGCTCTTCAGGGATTGAATGTCATCGGCCTTGAGAGCTGGGGGAAAGATGGTTCGCACACAGGCACTCGATATGTCAAAAAATCACACGCACGAGCGCCATGAACACCGTGGGTGCCCTGTTGCTTTGATCCGTAACCGATCGTGGTCTTGAGACAAACGATGGTAGGCTTGGTCTTCTCGGCACGGGCAGCGACAATGGCACCGTTAATGGCAGCAAGATCGCTGGGCGAAAGTCAAACATTGAAAATCTGAATGAGAAACCATCTCGTACTGGTCACCGTCATTGACGTGGAGAACTTGCCAGCCGTATGACAAGAAGCGCTGCTCGACATTCTCAGTGAAGGCGACAGCGGTGTCACCGTCAATAGAAATGTCTTAATGGGGATCAGTCACGGAACGGAGCCGCACATAAGGAACCGACGTACGGTTATCATCATAGATCTGGGACAGACCGGTTAATCGAGGGGAAAAAGTCACACGTGAAAGGTACGTACGACGATCAAGTTGCCCAACTGCAAGTGACCAGCGAGGGAAGCGGCTTCGCTTGCAACACCCTCCATCAAACAACCATCTCCAGTGAAAACTGCAGGTACAGGGGAATGACATATTCCGAATCTCCGGAACTGGGAAAGTACTAACCATACGTGTAGTTGTTGATAAGATCAAACCCGGGACGGTTGTAAACTGCGCCGTAGTGTGCCTGGGCCATAGCGAGACCAACACCGTTAGCGAATCCCTGACCAAGGGGACCGGTGGTGACCTCGATACCTGGCGTAGTGTCAGCGGTCCGTCAACATGGACTGTATCATAAATAGCACTTACCATCAGTATGGTGTGCCTCAGGGTGACCAGGGGTCAACGAATCAAGCTGCCTGAATGCCTTAAGGTCATCCATGGAAAGCTTGTATCCCAAGAGGTGCAACAAGATGTATTGCAGTGCGCAACTAGATTTCCCATCAGTTAGTGATACACCAGTCAGGGGTCAAGTGCATACGCATGTCTGCAGTGTTCATCAGCGAGCAGTCGAATGTGAATCTGAACACAAACTCACCCATTAGATAGAACGAATCGGTCGCGGTTAAACCACTTGGAGTTTTTGGGGTTCGCGTTGAAGAATCTACGATATCATTAAATAATCGTACGATGTGGACTCATTGATATGACTTGCCTTGTGAAGAGAACATGGGAGACAGGCGCCATCCCCATGGGTGCACCTTAAAGATAGTCATCGTCGTTATCGTTGCACATGATGAAGTTGATCTAGTCGTGCTCACCTGGATGGCCAGAGTTTGCCTTGCCAACGACATCGGCAGCAAGAGTGCGGATGGTGGCAATGGAGGTGTTGTCTGTTGACTCCGGAGTGAAAGACATGATTGATGGATTTGAAGGAGAAGGAGTTAGAATTGTTCGGGTTAATATATACCCCTCAGAGATAACTCTTTCAAGCTGTACTGATGCGATTTAAGTTAGCGACCGGCTTACGAAGGCTTACGACCATGGAACCGTTTCACACGTCGATTCTCGCGTTAACTCTCTCGGACAGGACGGTTGCCTACGGAAAACATACAACCGGGACTTGACCGGAGCCCTCTTCTCATCTTGGTCTGTGCGTGTATCGTTAACTCGTCGACACTGGTTTTCGACAACTGTCTGGGATCCCACTGTCAGTCGGTGCCGTGTAGCCCTGTAACACTTTTCATGCAGCATTTCTCAGATGCATCCGCAGTTGTCTGATAAACGAATAGGTGCGGCGCACGGCCTTTGTGATATTCTTTCCTGTTCTGACCTAGCCATCAAAGTCTGCAGGGAATTCATCCAGGCACTGGATGCATGTCATGTCAGTATCTGGGCGCGTCTCACTGGTGGTTGCAATCAAGAAAAGGACAGCCTTAATAAGTGCCTTCGAAAAGAGGTTAGTTGCCTGCCTTTAGTACGCCCCTCCTAGCGCTGATATCTCCTTGGCTTAGCGCGTCGAGCGCTCGACTCGTAACCGCACCCAGGCCAAAGAGCAACGTTTGAAAACTGAACAGGTTTGGAAGGAACTTCACGAGGATGATTAATCTCTAGTCGTTCCTACCCAACCGCACCTCTCACGTAGTCGACATACGCATGATATTTTCTGATGTCGTCAAAATTGTCTCACAAGAAACTTGGCCGGATTAGTTTAAACATCTCCCACCTGCAGCGGGAAACGGATGGTTGCAAATCTCATAACAACCTCATAATAAGTGCGACATGTCTCCTCCCCAGCATTGAATTGGGATAGTAGTTAAGAGATCTCAAATACATGAACCTCTTGCATTTCAACCAAGCCGCTATCAAATACACTTCGTCAGGGGAGAGGAAGCCGATCACAGGTGACCACGTCATGAACTAGTGGCCATACAATGGTCTGATTTTGGCAGATGAGTCAATCATCTTGACAAAGAATGATGTAGTCATGGTCTCACCGACACTAATAACGCTCGGATCCGGATTTCCCCACCACGTAGGGAAGCTTATGGCATTTCCGCTTGCCCCTTAAATGGAGTAAGTACAATCGAGGCGAACTTTGCAAACATAGAACTCACCGAACACCGCAAAATTAAGGATGAAGTAAATGATGGACGTACCTCCGTCCAGAGCGGCGGAGGTCAGATCTACAAAGTCATCCCTAGTTGGTTCATCGTGATATCTCCAGCCAGATTACGCACAGTTGTATTTAATGTACCATCTTGGCTTCCTAGTCCTGACCCACCATTGCGTATACAACCCGATGATGAACCCTGGCCACCACATCCCTGTATTAATCATCAGTACAAGCTACGGAACATCGTACGATTCGTCAACGTACCATTAACTGAGTATGGAAGCCAACCAAGATACGTAAATATAATCGGCATGTTAAGGTAGGACCAGATCCGTTGTCTGTCGTCCCGAGTATCAGATTTCTATAAATAATTTGCAGAGGAAATTACCTTGGGAATAAGCGGTGCATAGCATAGAGCAAGAAGGGAGCGAGGAACCCGTATAGAAGTCCGAGAGGAAGCTGGAAAGGGATTTGTGAATTTGTATTCACAACAATCTACTTAAGAACTTACCTGAAAGTAGGTTTTACCTGGGCCGTATAGCTCTGCACTCAGAGCGCCCCATGTAATTGCTGCTGAGTTGATCTCCTGTGACCCCCACCCTGACCATATACGCGTTCCAATCGCTGCAATCAATCTTGTTTGAGTTCGAGTAGAGACTGTATATGTATGATATAGCGTACGGTTTATCAAAACAGCTCTGTGCGCGTCTACGATGGACTTATAGAGGACATAATTGAAAACTCAATCAAAGCATTCAGCGAGATAAGCCTCGTAAAACGTCAGTTACTTACTGGCCCCAAGAATCGTGCCGCTGATTTGCGCAACAAAAGTAGCTCTGGGCGGTACCTTTGCATATTGTCCTTCGAAGACAAACATTAGATCTTGAGCCAACCCATCAAAGTGGAAGATAGCACCTAGCTTCAAATCGGAGAGCATGGCAAATGTCTGATAAGCAGTGTTGTAACCGTACAACTTTGCATACATGTTCTGAACTGGTTGTTGAGGGTGAACGTATGCCTAACATGACCTGTCAATGTTGACCGCCACCATTAATGCAGAAAAACCACCGACAGCAATGACTTGTACAAAACCTCCGGTGGGGATCTGGAATCCTGTCACAGCATATATGAAACCAAGGATGACGGCGATAATGAATGCTATGCAAGAGAACGTGAGGTGAAATCGAATCCCTTAAAGTCGGTAACTCACAGAGGATGGTAAAAACGATGAGAGACCACCATGGAAGGGTGTTGATGCCAACGTACGCCATACCAATCGCTAGGCCTAATGATAGGATGAAAACAGAACCGTACCACCATTGTGGAACCTCTTTATAGACTTTCATTCGCTGAAAGTGAACACTGGAATGCAACGTTGAAGAAAGTCCGAAAGTAAAGAAAAAGGTATAGCTCACTCGTCAAATTCCTGCTCTGATTTCAGGAAGTTGAAGCCTTTGAAAGCTCCCCATAGCTCTCTCCAGTGCCACAAAAGTATGTGGGAAAATGCTGCTCCCATGGAAGCATAGCTCATAAGGGTAGAAACTGCGTAGGTTGTTGTCATGAACCTGAAAAGTATTTTAATCACAAAAAGATTAATATGCCTGTTTATGTACGTACGGGGGTCCAACTTCAGCATACTTTGCCGGGTCGAGTGTATTGTCGGGGGTAAGGATCGCGGATTGGTTGTACGATGAGCCATTACCAGTGAACAGCGCAGTTGACATGAACGGTAACCCCCTCGAATACCCCTGGAACACGTCTGTATAATAGCATCCGGCTGATAGCGAATCGATGAATGATGTGACAAGGGAATGATATGACGCGACTCACTCATCAGAGCATAACCAAAAGCTAGCCCAATCCAGGAAGAGACTTGAGTCTGCAGAGGCCAATACAAAGGATACGCTTGTGTGATCAAGCTCCAGTCGAAACTGAATGACAGCAGACCTAAACCTTCATTGGACCCTCCCCCACCAAAGATGTTGCGAATAACAGCCGAGCGACCATTATCAGCCAGGCAAATAATAGAGAACGCCGTTAGAAGAGGGAACATCCAAGTCGGAATGATTTCCTGTGGGTGGTAACATGAGATCAGCGAGGGTGAGTTCGTGTTATGTTGCTTCACCGACCCAACAAAAGATGGCCCAAAAGACTGAGGAACTCTTCAGCGTTCATGAAGTTCGATTGAAAAAGATTTACCAATCCAGAAGTACTTCATTTTCTTGCTGTTGAGTAAACCACCAAAGTGCATGGATTGCAGAAGAGAAATTGACGGGAGTTGGTTCGGATACAGTGCGTAAGTTGGCCATACGAGGAGGGTTCTTAAAAGCCCTGCAAAACCATATCCAATCGACTGAATCATGAGGTTAATTCCGATATCAGACTTAGCAAGCGGTTGGTAGCACCTGCGATGCGAATGTTTGGAAGATTGCTGCTCCAGGATTCAAGGTCACGCCGTAAAACAAATCAAGTGTTGCTATGATACCAATAGCAGTAGCTGTAGTTGACGCAGTAGATGCCATAATGGTGATGCATGTATGCTCCTTGATGTTGAACGGCCCAGGATTGAGATGGCGCCAAATCCCTGTCGAAGGCATAGCATAATGCATCTTCATACTCTCGATAAATTGAAACATGGTGAAGGAAACTGCAGAAACTCACTGCATTACCCAGAATGTAAGATATAATGAGTTGAAATAAGGCCGACACTGTAGCATTCTGGGGTTTCCAAAAATAAATCTCAGATAGAACAGATCCTGAGACAGATTGAACATCAATTTAGGTCGATATCAAGAGTAGCAGGCTTCGTCCAAACTCACCAAAAGTCGCTAGCCCGGTACCAAGGACCCAAAATCGGAAGGTCAGTGCGGGGAGCTCAGGATTATCCTCATCTGATATGATCTAGATAAAATTCGACATATCAAGCCGACCGGTCGTCGGACACTCCTGTTGTTAGACCTACCAAGTTGGTGATATCTCCTGCCCCGCGGACGACCTGCTCAGACTCTTGAGAGGGTGCCTCTTCTAGACTCTTTGTGCTGTAAACACTGAAGCCCTTTAAGTCTTCCTCTCGATGCTCAAGCACCTTGGATGGCTCCGTAAGATGAGAATGGGGCATGACTCGCGCAGAGATTGTATAGGCAGGTAAGCTTCCGATGTTCCCTTAAATACGTGCACTTCGGGCGAAAGAAGATACTCAGATGGGGTAACTCTGCTTGAGAAACGCAGACTCCCGTTGATAAGCAGGGTCAGACCGATTGCCGCTGGCAGGTGACGCATTCTACTAATACCCGGGAGCCCAAACAGAGTGTCACTATTGAATACGTGGATCCTATGTATGACCTGGCAGTAGGGTTAGGTTGTCACAAAGCTTCAAGGATACAGCCGACAACACCTACAGCTTGCCAAGCAGTGACTCTGAACCAGTGGTGCCATGGTGAACGTTCGGGCCAAGTTCTGGCTAATGATTGATGAATTTCAATACTTTGAGTTTAAGTTTCAATTGGTCGATACTCGAGTGTACCGTACGTAGTACTAAGTTAGTAACTCCTACAACTTTAGTATCTTACTCTCACGCAGTCTCACGATTTCCATGCGTTCGCGATGGTCAGGGCTGCGCCGCTGTATAATTATATACCAACTTATCTCAATTTAATCTTAGATGTAGTATCTACACATGGTGCGGACAGCCTTTGAAAATTTGGCCGACCATCGCTGGAAAAGTCGAGGTATTCATGCGTATTCGGCGTTTGTCTGATTGTTTATGTAAGCTTGGTAGAACGTACACGTGCCTGAGTTACTTACAGTCACTAGTACTTCTATCGTTTATTGGCTGTAGACCAACTGGCGTAATCTCTCGTTCGAGTGTTGACGGCGGCGATTGCTCTTTCGTCGGACATAAGTGACCAGAGCCTTTTGAAATTGACAAATGTCCTTATTCCTCCTACAATTGTACATCTAAACCGAGCTTTGGCCCAAAGCTTCTTTTCACAGATATCGCCATGTTTTTACCGCTCTCTCACATCAGCCATCTCTAACACTGCTTCGAGTACGTACCAGAGTACTTCGACCCAGAGCCTTCGTCCATCTTACCAACATTGTCACGGCTGTGTTTTCCAAGTAAGGTGAGGGCATTTGTCGGGGACTCTTGTTTAATGAGGTCTTCGGTAATCTCGATCTGAACAATCATTATTCATGTCAGCTCTTGCACTAGCCAAAATATTCAACATTTCTTACGATATCTCCCAACAGGCGCTCCACCAGCTAGACGATAGCCTGAATAAAGCTCCACAAGAAAATTACGACAAGAATGCTCACCGCTTCAGTCGCGTTCTCCCTGATGACGACCCGAAGAATTTCAACTTTTTCCAAGTCAGGGGCAAGTTCATAGTTCGGGACAATCCACCCTTTAGTTCGCAGAAGAATCTGAATCCATTTCTGTTGGATTTCAGGGTACGACTCTTGGAAGCTGTCGGAGAACCGGAACGTCACAACCGGAAGACCATCTTCATAGTTCTGCGGAACGTCAGAAAGCGTTGCCACCCAGTGGTAGAATGCTAACCTCCGGGTTTTCTTCGTCGAAGTTGGTAGTCCCATGGTTATTCTCCTGAAGAATATCTTTGGCTTTTGGCCGGTGTATATCGCTGAGAACTGTGTACCAGCCAGACTTCTCGAGAGCACGACTCAAGAGCCTTGCATTTTTGAGGTCATCCTTAGCTACCGCACGGTATCCCTCAAACCCAAGGTGCACAAAGTTGAAGTATTGAGCGATGATGGGTGCGGCAGGACGGGAGAAGTTAAGCGAGAACGAGTACTCGACTGAACCAAGGTAATGCAACTCAAAGATGAGGTCCTTCGGAAGGTATGCCTTGGAGCGCCATACCACCCAACCGACACCTACGTAAGCCAGACCATACTTGTGGCCTGAGGTGTTGATGGAGACAACCCGCGGAAGCTTGAAGTCCCAAAGCAGCTTTGGGTGCGCAAAGGGCGCGACGAAGGCACCCGAAGCTCCGTCGACTAAACGGGAGTCAGTGAATATGAGGGGAACAGAATACAAAGATGCCTCACCGTGGATGGGGATGCTGATTCCTGTCTTCCGCTCGTATTCGTCGAGAAGGTCAGACATCTCCTTTACTGGTTCGTAGTGACCGGTGTAAGTACTGCCGAGGATGACATAAACGCCAATGGTATTTTCATCAACATATTGCATGGCTTTCTGGGGGTCGAGTCTATACTTGCTCTCAACACTGACTGGTACGAGGCGGCATTCAACCTCGAAGTAACGTGCAAACTTTTCAAGAGCGACCTGGGCATTGGAACCCATGACGATGTTGGGGCCAGGCTCATGGATAGACTTGCCCTCAGCCTTGCGACGCTCTTGCCAGAGCCGCTTCATGGCAAGACCACCCAGCTGTATAGCTTCCGATGAACCAGTAGTAGCGGTCCCAATTGCCTGATGCGTCGAAGGTGCATGCCAAAGATCAGCAAGGATCGAGACACAACGGGTATGAATTTCCTCTGCACGTGATCATGAGTGGAAATTGCTAGAATGGCTATTTGTGACATACGCGTCATAGGATACTCATCCTGATCGATCAAGTTTTTGGACATATTTTCCAACATCAGCTTGTCCGCAGGCTCTGGCATCCAGGTGTTTACAAAGGACGCAAGACTTTGGGAAAGTGAGAAGACGACAAATAATACAAATTTCAAGAGACTGACTTGAGACTGGGAGATCCATCAAGGGCCAGTTCATCATGGATCAGCTGGTACGCGGTCTGCGCGCTGGTCCCCTTGGAAGGGATGTGAAACTTGGGGACAGATGTGATTCCGTACCGCGCTCCATATGGGTGAGATGTAGAATCAGACTCCCTAGAACTAATCAGATGATGATGGTTGAAGTTCTTATCCTGAGAAAATTCTATCAGCCAGAATATGATAGAATTCGGTGGCGAACCCCTAACCTTAGACTCGCGGATGAGTTTGCTAGGATTGATGTGCTATGTGAAGCTAAAGCGAAGTGTTCCACGAGCATGGAAAATGAAGACTCACCTTTGAGAGAGACATAGTAAATGATAGATGTGGAGAAAGCTAGAGACGGGCGGTCAGTATTATGAATGGCGACGATCTTATATGACGTACGTCGGTCCCATTTAAGTTGTAGCGATGGACTCCAATTCCGACCACATGGTGCAGAGAATGTTCTTTGGAGCGGCCCGGACTCACTAAACATTCCCTAGATTTGCTATTCCTAGTGGCCGCAAGATCGGTACCATATTTGATCTGGCCAGTCCAGTCCTCCCCGTTTGCTATCCCCATCTCTGCGTGATCATCGTAGTCCTGGATTCTGACACGTGTGTCGACATCGCGATATCGGTCCATGTCCCTGTCCCTGTCCTTTCTGCTAGTCTCTTCTCCTCCTGTCATCTCTGTCTCCTCTCCTTCCACAATCATCATCCCTCCTACTGCTCCTCCTTCTCTCAGGTGACCGTAAAGTACTCCTCGAAACAGTCGTGTTCCAATTGCTGCTTTCCTCCCTACTTCTCTCCTGTTCCACAAGCGGGATATACCGCTTCTCATCCCCTCGCCGTTTCTGTTTCTTAGTACCGTCATATAGCACATCTTGTTCCTTTGCCCCAATTGCCAAGAGTGCAGGGCGCGATTTCGGTAGGTAAGGCTCCGAAAGTTCATCAGCCAGCGCATTGATTTTCGCTCTTTCCGAGCTTGTAACAGCCCCGCCGTCCACCCAGCTGCGGAACATAGCAGCTCCAATGCGGTGTGGGCATGCGCGCATACTCATCGATAGTAGAAACATCCAGAAAATTAGCAACGTCTTACTTGAGGGCGTCAATTTCTCTGGGAGGAACGGGAATGGAATCAATCTGGGGCACCGAGTCCATATCCCCAGCCAGCAGCGCACGAAGGGCTTATTTGTCTTCTGTCTCTTTCACAAGAGCATGCTCTTCTACCGTCATATTTCTCTCTTCGTCGCGTTGCCACAGTGCTCGCATAGAATTTGACTTCTTTATTGCCGAACTGGATACCTGACAGCTGGGAGTCAGAGTTGATGGTGTCGCGCGTTCCAAGTCCTCCGACACTCCCGTCTGCACCTGTGCTCACTTTTGCAGAGTCAGGGATGAACCGTGCGGTCCATGCACGACATTTCCGTGTTGCCTCCAGCCAGTCAAAATTCGGCTTCAAAAGAATGACAAATGGACCTGTAGGGATTTTGGACCTGGTCCTGGTGTTTCTGCCATTTACACTAGTTGATAAAAGTAGCATATGTACCTTTTGTTAGCTATAGAAATGTTGAAACAAGCGGAGGGAGACGCACTGCTGTGCACCAAACTTGTTGAGAGAAGTGATAAGCTTATCCTCGAGATGGTCATCTTTATCATCGCTTGAGTCTGGCTCATCTTTACGCCCATCATCAGCAAACAAGATCTCGCTCTTCTCTTCATCGTCGGGATTCTCTCAGGAGCTGAAAGTATGAGAATGGCCTGTGAGTAGGGAGCCATAAGCAGAGCTTGCGGCACTGACGGGGGAGCGCTGAGAGTTGGATTTGTCGCTGGCCCTATCGTTGTCGGCTGCTGGGATGCGAATTAATTGCTTACAAACACGACCAAATCCCATAAACGCGTCGCGACTCACGTCCGGGACGGCGAGTCTGACGGACTCTAACCGCGCCTGGAATTTGAACATTCAACATGGCAACCTTCGATTCAATGTGGGTTACATTTTTACATATACATGGACCATCAGAGGTCTCATTTATCTGCACAGACCAACTCCATCATGTCCACTTGTCCGATCGACAAGCACCGTTGTTCCTCCAACTGAGACGACACCGTCTTTCTTGATAGACCCAAAGAACAAGTCTTACAAGCACCAATATGCAAACATATACTTTACACGTCTGACAATGCTAAGAAGTGCAGTGGAGGAGCGGGCAAGAGCTAGGTGGGATGGACTACAAAGTACGTGACAAGAACCTTCCATTCTTTTTGAATGCTCACAGCAGGTACAATTAGGTGAACCGCTCCATGTAGCGCGTGTCCTTGATATTGTCAAATCTCAACTATGCTGGGTAATAGGTACAGTCTACATGGATATGCCACTCAAGCCGAATGTTCTGGAAGACATTGGCCGAGATGTGAGTAACTTGCACACAAAATCGACCATTCTCAGTTGATGTGTGAAAAGCATTCCATTCCGGCTCCACCTCCACGTGAGAAATTCTATTGCGATGAAGACAGCGTCATGTTGGAGGATGAGTCGGGTCGTATTAAATTAGTCGGTAACCGTGTCAGTGAGGAACGCTTAGTCACAGGCGTCATCGTCGCCGCTCTGGGCATGGAAACGCCCACAGGAGATTTCGAAGTTGTAGATATGTGCACTGCGGGACTTGCAATATTTGCGGAGGAAGAAATTCTCGGCTCAGACGCCATGGATGTGGATGTAGAGTAAGTTTATTGCTTTCCAGACATACAACTGAAGCCCAAGACGCTTTATGACCCAGCTTTTCATCCACACGAGATGAATATGTGGCCGTCATTTCGGGACTATCCATTGGGTCACCCTCGCCTGCGGATGCGCAAATCCAAATGCTTGTAGAGTACCTCGCGGGAGAAGCAGGCGGTCCCGAGGACCAACAACTGGCATCACAGATAACACGGCTCATCATCGCCGGAAATTCGCTATCACTTGAGGAATACAACGAGGAGGGTGAAGACGAGAAGAGACCAGTAAGCTAGGATCCCTTCTTTGTAATGACAAATGACTCAGTAAATATCAGAGAAAATTCGGCGCATCAACACAGGCGAACTTTTCTCCTCATCCGAATCTTGCTCTTTCCGCTCATCTTCATGATTTAATTTCCGCACTTCCCGTCCACATATTGCCTGGAGAGGATGATCCTTCTGGAATCATTCTTCCACAGCAGCCTTTCCCCCGTGCGATGTTCGGAAAGGCTGCAACCTTCGAGTCATTCTATTGCGAATCAAATCCGGCCTGGCTTCGCGTAAGATGTGATGAAACCGAGTCATCGATACCGAACGAAGGGCGAACCTCGTCTTCTAAATCAAATCATCCGCCTGTCACTCGCAGCCTATTGGTGACATCAGGGCAGCCTGTTCTCGACATGTACAAATATCTTCCAACCCCGCCCTCGAGCCTCGTATCGATTGCTGCTTCAACCCTAAGATGGCGCCACGTTGCTCCAACTGCTCCAGACACTCTATGGTGTCACCCTTATCGAGACCGAGACCCTTTTGTTTTGCGGCAAACTCCGGATATATACCTTGTTGGCGGAATGCCCGAATTTGGTACAAGGCTGGTAGGTTCAGAAGATGGATCGGGCAGGGCAGGGAGATGTTGCAGAATTGTTCTAGTGCCTAGCTTCTCGCAGACGGGCATTCTAGTGCTTGTCAATCTGCGGACTTTGGAAGTGCAGTGCGTGGATTTTGGGGTCGAGGGATTGAGTGCGGGTGGCGGAGAGCAACGGCCTTCAGGAGATGATGGAGATGCCATGGCAGAAAGCTAACAATCTTTTATTCATTTTTTTCTTCTTTCGGTCAACATCAAATCGCAATTTAGGCTGCAGATTCCTCGGGCCCCTCTTTTCCCTGAAGTCTTCACGAGCAGTTGTCGGTTTAATTTTGCGCCACATCTGGTTGAAGCCTATCAGCATCTTCCGATTCATGGAATTTAGATTGATTTGGCAGGTGTAGTGTTCAGGGTCACGTGGATAATAGTCCATCATCAGTTGTTGTGAAAGGCTGTCAGAGGTTGTCCTTTTTTTCATCCCCATTTATTGCTGAAGAAGCCGTTGTCAAGTATGACAGAACAAAACAAAAAACAAAAAGGCTATTTTTAATTCCGGGGCTCACTTCAGCTCTCCTTAGCCTCGCCTACCGTTCCCTTCTCAAAGTGCATTCAAGAATTCTTTAATCATTAATCCAACGGCCCCGAAGGAACGTTTAAAAATTCTTATCGGATGGGGCACTTCCCTTTCATGACGCTTGTGGACAAATGCCATTATGCTGGACTGCATTTGTTTGTTGTAGTGGGCGCAGGTTGCCAAGGAGTGAATTGCCACACGCTCGACATAATCAAGCAAACCACTGATGCTTATCTGGGACGGTCTTCCTATTGATCATTTGATTTCCGATTGTCAGGATTGTGACTCCAGCCTTCCGAAAAACATTCCTTGTGGGCGTGTGGCATTTCCGCTTGAATCTTTAGGGTGGCGTTCATGCCACAGCTTCTCACTTTGACCGTGCTTTGGCTTCATCACACATACATAAGGTGCGTTGCTCCAACTCAGATCGACCTCATTCCACTCTCACCTTCTCTCCTGTCTTAGACTTACTTCTACTCACTTGCGTACGCGCGTTATAATCCGGACGTCCATCAAGATACTCGTCGAGGCTCTGGGCCGATATGCCCATCCTCGTAACGCTCATGCATGCCGACACCGAGTTTTCCTCGTGAACGTCGAGCGCGCATGAGCCCGGTAGCGCTGCAAGAGCAGCAATCTTGGCGCTACTGTACGCACGGGTGCTGAAGCCGTGCATCGCTGCAATACGGTGGAGGTTCGAGGAGCCCGGTAAACAGCGCCACTCCCCTCTGGATCGTGTCGAACACCCTGGACGAGACTCTGGACCCCGCTTGATTGAGCTTACACTGTGTGACATGCAGTCAGCGATTGTCACGATAGTCTCCGGCCCTAATGTCTTTTCTTTCCTTCCTGTATTCTCTGCTATGTAATCTTCATACACAAGAGTGCTGAGGGCGGTAGCTTTTCCCCACTGGGGTTTTTAATGCACCCGTTCCGATGATGCACTCTTTGTGTCAACTCGGGAAAAAATAATCAAAAAATCTTTGTGCCATCATTTTCTGTTATGACTACGAGTGAAAGTCTAATTGGCTCTGAGCAATGCATCGCTGATTTTTCTGCTCTGGCTCTATAATGTAATGTAAGTACATGCAAGTTGTTGAGCATTCGGTACTCAGTACTGGGCCAGTGTAAGCAACGTTGCAACGAAAACTGTCTAGGATCCTGAATTCATCTGTCACAATGCTTAAAGGTCGAGTTGAGTCGGTATAGGGACTTGAAGTCATAAAATGCCAACTAAAAATATGATAAGGAATGTTTTTGGTATTTACACTGAGAAGCACGTCTGGTATCATGTCCTTAAGGTAAACCTCCTGTAGCATCATCATGTATTCACAGTACAGTACGCCAAGAAACACACGAAACAATGAAATATCACTGATTGGACGAACGCTCGAGTCTTTGTCTGGTGGGCGAGAACAACCCTCCAACGACGCTTGACATCGTGTCCGTGATTTGCCGCTGTTGCGGTTGCGTGTGCTTGACGAAAAAGAGTTGCACGTTGGTGGAATTCCATATCCCGAGAGGTGACATCCCATGCACATAAACCCCTCCCCATATGAGCGACGTCAACCAGACAATTGATGCATCCGACCACTAGTAGCTGGCTGAGTATCTTCCGCAATTCATGAGAAAAAACATACCATAAATCGTCTCGGATATAACACCGGTGCAGGAGGTAGAACATCAGTCAATGTCACACTTTGCAAGAAATCAGTGATAGCGCCAGCTGAGTTAGCCTTCTGCCTGCCAGCCTGCAGATTCTGGATCTTTGGCAAGAGCTCCGATATGACCAGCATCACAGTATCCAAGGGTAACCTGTCAAACATTTAGAAGACACTCGAACACCAGCGAGCAAGTGCTTACCCTTGTTGCCAAGACGTGACCTAGTTTCATGGAAGTTAGAGACAGATAATGTTTTGTTGGTGCGAAATGGGGCTCACCCATTCTTGGGTGGGTAAAAACCCATTCCTACCAATGCCAGCCGCAGCCATGCGATCTCCATTAATTGTGTCCGACGACAATGACCGCCGAGCCTTCATCTTGCCTCTTGCCTTTTCTGACGTAGCTGTTATAGTACTGGTACTTGTTGTGGGGCTATTCTCCGAAGGTAGAGACGTGAGCGGGCGGGTCTCGGTTTGCTCATGGCCACCCAGGCCAGCTTCAAGGTCCTCACCAGAAAACGAAGTAGACTCTATGGTGAAGGCAGGGTCGCTTTCATTCTTGAGAAGGCGCGATTTTTCCTGGTGTGCACTCTCCACGGACACGCGCTCCTGCTGTGGGCCATCCTTTCTGTCGCGTTCCGCCTGGCTCGCTTGCTCTTCCTTGATCCGTTGTACACGCTGGATCTCTCGAAGTCCGCGGGTGAGAGTGAATGTCCCTAGCTCTTCGAAAGTTTTTTGTGCGGTGATGATTGCATACATAAGATTGGGGTTATCTGAAAGGTGGTGAAATACTACTGAGTTGAAGACCTCGAGCCTTGGGAACAAGTAAGCGTCATGCTACTCCCATATGACAATTACTCACATAAGAAACAGAAGTCTTGGGTGGCTCTCGTCGGATAAG